GGGGGGAAGAGAAGTGCAGCAATGAATGAATGGAAATCCAAAATCTCTGTAAATGCTCATTAAAATTATTTTAAAAAAAGAAATAATGAACATGTGATTGGACAATACAGGGAGGACGATTCTTTTTATATCATAAGAAAGGATTTGTCTGAATTATGTTGCAGTGTTTGGTGGCAGGTAGAACATCTAAGTGATGAACCTAGAAATCTGGTTGATGATAGTTCTGAGGAAGATCTTAAAAGGACTGTGTGCTTCCCCCCCCTCCCCCACTGCCTCGTTGTGTACCATCAAATCTAATCTGACTGGTACAGGAGATTGCCCCTCCTCCAGCGGAGCATCTGGTGGATTTGAACCACTCACCTTTGGGATTACAGTGTAGTTTCTTGCCACTAGGCCACCAGAGCTCCCTTCTGTGTGTGTTCTTGCTGATGTTTACAGTAAGGTGCAGGAGGGAAGGAATGGTTACAAAGGAGTGGTGCAAAATGAAAACAGAACTTCAAGTTCTGGAAGACTCTGCTTCAAGCTAAGGATACGTGTCCTAAAACACTCACAGCCATGGGTTGAATTGAGCCACCCCAGAAAGTTAACATGTGTAATGATATAATGTGGACACTATGTGATGATCCCCTATGATGTAGGAGGATTAAGGGTGGAATGCAATACTTCTTCATCCCATCCCAGCCGTGATCCGACAGAAGGGAGCTAACAAGGGAAGGGAACGAGCCATGAGATGCACCTCAGTGCCACCAGAACAGAATGGCCGGCAGGGGACTGCATCCTTTAGAACTGCAGCACCTGCATCAGGAAGCTCCTTGACCCCCCGAGGAAGGGCAAGATACATGGAGATCTCTTAACCCCAGGCCTGCAGATGCTTGAAGGGAAAAGGGTGCTCATGCAGAACTGACCAGAGGGAATGGGATGGGGAGAGAAGAGCCCTGTGAGCTGGCACCCTGAGTCTAGACTTCTAACGTTCTAAAGGAGAAGAAGATAAAGTTCTGTTTTTAAAGTCAGCCACTATGGTATCTAAGACATTCACCAAAGACACGGCTACCTGGCTAAATAAGCTTCAGTTAAAGAGCTTAGCCTGTGGCTGATGCGTCTAACTAGTTACCACAGCGGAAAACCCATTAGCTTAGACTGAAGGTAAGAGAGAAGGAACCAAAGGCAAGAAATCATGTGCCTCTTGGAATTCCACAGGCAGGAAATGAGTCAAAGAAATGACACCTGTTGTCCTCTAAGAGAAGGAGCAGCCCTGGAGACCAGCGAGACGTGGAAGGAGGCGGGAGGATCTTCATAATGTCAAAGGATGAGGCTACACTTTCTTGAATCTTAAAAGGAGAATTCACAAATACCAAGTTTCAGAGAGCAGAGTCTTTACCACCTCAAATCCAGACTCTGAGACCGTCATTATGGCGAGCCAAGGGATAGTGCCTCCGTGCAGAGCTGCGGGAGCAGGGCTGTGCATCTGAGGCAGAAAAACGAGGGTTGAGAGGGTGGAGTAGCCACTGGGAATAGCAGGATGAAGTAGCCTAAAGCTGAGAGAGGAGAGCTACCATCCTAGAGAGAACTGAGAAGCAGAGCTGAAGCCAAGGTCAAGAGACCTGTACTCAGAATCCAGAGTGCATGGCCGCACGCAGAGGCTAGAGCATGTGGCCCTTGGTCAGCTGGACTCGGAGAAGGTTTGAAAGGGAATGCGATTTGTTTTGCTTGGTTTTATACTTGATTTAGTGCCTAATCATATGGGGCCTAGTACTGGTGGCCTAATGCTAAGGAACTGCAATGCAATACTGAAGACACGCAGTTCAAATCCTCATGAGAAACATGGGCAGTCTCCTCCCATGCAGTTAACTGCCTCTGAAAGCCTGCTGAACCATCAGCGATGGGTCTGTTCTGACTGAATGGTGGACAACAACAACAGTCCCTACTTTTCCTCCATTTCCCCCCCATTTGTTGTAGAAATGCCTACTTTGTGCCCGTCCACCATTCAATGTGGCAACAGATAACTTGTATCCTAGATTTCACAGATGAAAAGGAATCTTGCCTGAGAATGGGTTACACTTAAAGTCTCACTATTATATTTTATCTCAAGGATTCAGAAATTGAGATTTTGGGCTTAGAGTAGCTTTAAGACTTTTGAAATGATATGATGGGGTGAATAAGATTTCTATGTAGAAGAACATTAAATTGGTCAGAATAGAGATAACAGGACAAAGGATGATATGTTTGCAAATCCCAACCTCTGCCTGTGGTTATAATCCCGTCTGGGACCGGGTTTCCTTTTGATGTTAATGAAGGAGAGCAAGTGCACGATCTATTGTAAGTCAGTGTTTTTTGAGATATAAAAGAGGAACGTTCACGAGCTACCAGGGGAGATAAGGGATGAGAGTTGCCACGTCACACAAGGATTGGCTAGGAGCAGAGGCTGGGAAGAATAAGACTCCTCCCCAGAGCTAGCCGAGATAAAGACTGCCGCTAGACCCAGCACCCCAATGTCAGGCTTTAGCCTCCTAACCAGTGCGAAAATAGCTTTCAGTTTGTTAAAGCCCCCACTTGTACTTCTGTTAGAGCAGCATGAGCGAAGGAAGGCTGCTGTGAAGCTAAGCGTTTCAGGTTCTTGAACGGTGGCCTGTGGCATCATCATGAGAAAGCAGGTTGCTTCCATCTCTGGAGGAACAATCATTCTTACATTCCACGTGAATACCTCTTCAGCTGTAACGTGTGTTGATGCTAACAGTTTAGGACATAAGAGAGTGAGATCAGAATGATGAGGAACAGGAGGTGGGCAAAGACGCCCCGTGTCTGACAGTGGTGTCAGTGGGTTCCCTTCCCACAGTGACCCTGGTGGAAATTGGAGCTTTACGTCACACGCCTGTGTTTCTGCACTGAAACTTGGGCCTGTTCTCTCCAGCCACGGCAGATCTCTGCGCAGTTCACAGGTCTGCCATCATTTGCCATAGTTCTGATAACCAGTAGAAGCAGCGCAGGAAGGTTTCCAAATTTAAGGCTCAAGAGAAAATGAGTACTAGCTGTGCTCTGGTCACTGTGGAATGCAGTCGCTCCCTTCTCCTGGGATTAAGAGAAAAAGAATACAAAATTAGACAGGAGAGGGGAGAAGATGATGACTGTGAAATGGAGCTTTTTCTAAGTTGGCCTTCCTTTCCCCTATCTCCCCCTCCCACCCACAGTTTAAATGGATAGAATTCTTTTTTTCCCCCATTTTAAAAAATTTATTATTAATTTCAGTGAAAATTTACAGACTTTGGATTTCCATTCATTTCATTTCATTGTTGCACTCTCCCCTCCCAACCCTCCCCCGTAGTACACTACCTTCTTGGAAAAGTAAAAGAAAAATTCTTTCATTGTTTTACAATCCCTCCCCCTTGGTCCACTCCACTATGCAGCCTTCACTCTGGACTCCTGTCATGACAAAAAGAACTAATCACATATCCCTCTTAAACAGTTTTCGCCCTCATCTATTTCAATGCAGTATGCATTATTGAACCCATCTTTCTCAGTCTACCCCAACCCCGAGGTCAGTCCTGTTTTACAACGGTGGCACCATGCAGTATTTGTCCTTTTGTGACTGAGATATTTCACTCAGCATAATCTCCTCCAGGGTCACCCACTTTGAATAATATTGCATGAGTTCATTGTTTTTCAATGCAGCATAGTACTCCATTGTGTGAATATACCACAGCTTCTTTATCCATTCGTTTGTTGATGGGCACTTATGTTGTTTCCAACTCCTTGCTATTATGAACAAAGCTGCGATAAACATGGGTGTGCATGGAGTTCCTTTTTTTTAAAGGAAAAATTTCTATGCAATATTTATGCAAACTCAGATCCGGTCAGGCATTCTGGCATTGCTGCAGACACACCTCGTACTGGGAGAAGGACAGTACCTTTCCATCCCACGTCGTGAATCTTCCAATCCATGTGAGACTGCCTTTTCCAAGCCCGACTTCCATGGAACACTTCCTTCTTCACTAAGGAGCTTCTTTGCTCAATATCCCTTTTTATAGTTCCTCCCACCCCCACTATTTTGTAAGGCAATGAGTATATTGAACTATAAACAGCTCCAGGTTGAAGCTTACATTGCAGTGCACTTGAAGTTACTGGGGACGCGTTGATGGTTTTCAGAGGGATCATTAGGTGCTTTCCTGCCATTAGCCATGGTTTTCATTGTCACCCCAGCTTCCCTCAAAGTGAAATTGCTCTCTGTCTTTTGTCCCTTTCTGTCCAGCCTGTTTTGTAACAGCGGTCTCCGGAAACTCCTCGTAGGACACAACCGGCTGACACGGCTGCCCGAGAGGCTGGAGCGGACGTCGGTGGAGGTGTTAGATGTGCAGCACAACCAGCTGCTCGAGCTGCCGCCCAGCCTTCTGATGAAGGCTGACAGGTGAGCAGCTGCCGCGGGCCCCCAGCTTGGGGAGATTGCCCCTGGGGGTCCTTGTCCTTGGTGGTCTTCCATGGGGTGTGTCCACCTCCTGGTCATCTGTCTGACAGGCTGACAGGTGAGCAGCTCCCTGCGTGGCCTCAGCTCAGGGAGATTGCCCCTTGGTGTCCTTGTCCTCAGTGGTCTCTCACGGGGTGGGTCTGCCTCCTGGTCATCTGTCTCCCAGACAAGAGACCATCGTGGCTTTCCCAGTCGGTTCTTAGGGATGCCGGAGGGCTGTCCTCATGATTCCTGGATAGAGTCTCTGTTTTCTGGAGAAAGAGGCCAAGATGTGCATCGGTATGTTGTGGGAGTGTAGGTGAGACACAAGGCTGAAAGGTGCACTCTTGGACGGCCATCACCTGCTTCAGACTTGTCCTGGGCCACTCCTCAGGCTTTAATGTAATTATCTTCCCCCCAGTACTCGTTTGTCTCAGGATTCTCTCTTCCTCTGCTCCTGCTGTCACATACATACATAACTCAAAAGTTTTGGTGAAGAGATGGGTTTTATTTGTGTTTACCAATTGTTCTTTATAATTGGTTTTCCCCCTCACTTTTAAATAAATTCTTTTCCTTTGAAGAAACAGATTTTCTGAAATATTTGCAGATGGCTTTATTTGTATGTTGTTTCACAAAGCGTGTAAGGAAATTACTTTCATTTGATGGAGATGTGGCTAGTTTTAAACATTGCTGCTGTTATGTGCTGTTGAGTCAAAATCGATTCATAGCTGACCTTCCAGTGCATTTTCAGAGGCTGGAAATTGCACGGGAGGCAATTGCCCATCTTTCTCCCGCAGAGCAGCTGGTGGATTTGATCCACCTATCTTTGGGTTTGTTGATTGCTGTCAGGTCAAGCACGACTCACAGCAACCCTATGAACAAAAGGTCTGAAGCCTTTCTGTAACTATTGACATTTCTCAAAGTTCACAGAGTTTCCGGAGGCAGCTCATTTCTTACCTCTAGGCCACCAGAGCTTTCTGTGAAGTGTTGCCACACGCAGAGTTTTTCCTTAAAGAAGTCTTTATCAAACTGTGGCTGCTGACTGTGGAGCAGCATTTGCTTCAGAGCCATGAGTTCCCTCGTGAGTTTGGACAAACTCCTCCGTATCCTGGTGGCCTGAATCACTGTCACTTCTGCCCTTGTGCACGTACTTTGAGCCACTGTCCGTAGCTTCAGAACACTGTGAAGGACTGCACTTCTCAGCTGCCTTGTTAGGGAGGCGTTGCACTTCAGCTCAGAGTCCACATTTCAGATCCACCAGCTGCTCTGTGAGAGAAGGATGGGCAGTCTCTTCCCAAGCAACTTAAAACTCAAACCCATTGCCATTAAGCTGGAACTGTCTCACAGCTGACCCTCCAGCTGGTTTTCTGTGGCTGTGTTATGGAGAGGAGCCCTGGTGATGCTGTGACTAAAGCATTTGACTGTGGGTCTGTGATTGGAACCCACCACCAGCTCACCGTGAGAGAAACACCGTGAGGCTAAAGGCCTCAGCAAAGATTATGTCATTCAAATCGCTAGTCTTGAGTCATTTCTGACTCACTGCTGACCCTTTCTCAGTCCTGAGGCTGGTCGTTGTAAATGGAGGGGACCGGCCATCTTCATCCCTCGGAGTAACTGGTGGATTCATAGCCCTGGAGAGGCACGGCTTCGGGGTCCTCTGTGCACCTTGCTGTAGAGAGCGCATCAGATCCCACAGGCTTGGAAAACTGGAGGAGCCGTTTCACTCTGTCCTAAAGGACGGAGAATGAGCTCAGTGGCCGCGGACTGTTAGGAAGGCGGAAGGCGTTAGCCTTGGGGTCTGTACTCTAAAAACTGGAGAGGAGAGGAGTATGATCATGGATCTCCTGGCTTTGACAAAGTTGTGGTTAGGTTTCAGCATGAGAGACCTGAGCTGAGGGGCTCCCCCCGTGTGTGTTCTCAGGTCCCCGCACACCCCCTGTGTCCCCTGAGCTGAGGGGCTCCCCCAGTGTGTGTTCAGAGTCCCCTCGCACACCCTGTGTCTCCTGAGGTGAGGGGCTCCCCCCGTGTGTGTTCTCAGGTCCCCGCACACCCCCTGTGTCCCCTGAGCTGAGGGGCTCCCCAGCCTGTGTTCAGAATCCCCTCATCCCCCCATGTCTCCTGAGCTGAGGGGCTCCCCCAGTGTATGTTCACAGTCCCCTTGCACACCCCATGTCTCCTGAGCTGAGGGGACTCCCCCAGCCTGTATTTTCAGGTCCACACACACATCCCGTGTCTGTACATTTCCCTTACTCTGTTGTCCTTCCCCAAAGATAATCAGTAACATAGACACACCTTGGATGTACGTTAGATTCGGTTCCCAATCACTACAAGAAAGTGAACCCCACAATCTTTTGTCTCCCCAGCTTTTTTTACTGCACTTATAGGTGTGTGCATTCGCTTTGTGGAAAACTTTTGGAATAGTATGAGAATTACTCAAATGTGACATCCAGACATGAAATAAGCACAGGCTACTGGGAAAAAGAGAGAACCTGGACAGAAAGAGTGTCGATGCCTCTGCGCCCTGGTGTTGGAGGAGAGCAGGGCATAGCCCGTGGTGGCCACGAGGACAGATCGCCTTGGTGGAGGTGCACAGAGAGCTCCTTGGCGGCAAGGTGGTGAAGCCCCGCTAACCTACAGGTGGCTTCTCTCTGGCGGTTCAAATCCACCAGCAGCTCCAAGGGAGTAAGATGGCCAGTCTCGTCCTGTGTGATCTGCAGCCTTGCACACCTGCTGGAAGGTCCACTCTCATGGTTTCTGAATCAATAACACAGAGAGTTTTTTGTTTTTATTTGGACAGATGACACTGATAGACTTGCCTAATGCAGAATTGCCCTAAGTCTTCAGTCTGTAAAGGTTGTGTGTCTGTGAGGGACAAGGAAGTGAAGTATGATACTAAAGGAATACTTCATCCATCTTATCTGGTAGCAAGAAGTTATGTTAGGGAACTGTTTTAAATTGAATGGCTTTTTGTAATAGGAACTTTAGTGGTCTAGTGGGTAAAGAGTCGTGATGCCAACTCATAGCCAGATGGTTCAAATCCACCAGCTGCTCCCCTCCTGTCAGATTTACAGCCTCTGAAAAAGTCTGCTGTGCATTTTTCTGACTCCTCAACAGCAGTGGTTTTGGCTGTAAGCAGTACCTTCCTCATCCTCTCAAAAATTTAGACCATTTTATTAACGTCGTTATGCCTTGAACAAGCAGTTGTAGGTTATGAAATTTTTTTGCTGAGTTTTGGGTATTTTGACTTGCACTTCAGTGGCAGGTCAAAAGCTAACAACAGAGATGAAATAAGACAGACCCCACGTCCTGTTGGATGAGCTGGGCCATATGGGCCTGGACCTCTAATCGCATCTCTGTGCTTGGGGTTGAGATTTTCTTGGTGGAAGGTTTGGATCATCAGTTGACATCCCCAGCTGGCCCGAGCTGGGAGCAGCCCTTCCCATCATTTGAGTGCGGAAAAAGCTGTGGGAAGTCCTGCCATCCTGCTGGTCCTCCTGAAATCTTGGTTCTCCAGTGAGAAGCCCCTGTCCACCCTGCGTCCAGCTCTGACCTGATGCTGTCAGTCTACTTAGCCAGGCCAGGATGGACCTGTCACGAGGTGCTGGCTTTGTGTTTGGCCGACACCAGGGGCTGCTTCAAGCCCTGCTTGGGGCAGCGGAAGATATTTGCAAGTGGAGGAGTCAGAATGTGTGTACAACTGGAGCCCATACTAATTGTTCCTTTTGTGCTGATTAAATATCCCCAGAGGATGAGTCACTTCCCAGACCAGAAGTTTGAATGACTCAGACAGAGTAAGAGTAAATATCACGGGAACTAGAAGAGAACAAGAAATCGGGGAGAGCGTGATCGATTGACCGTGACAACTGGTGCTGCTTGGCAGAGACAGAGCACTTCTGGCATTTGAAGAGCTCCTTTTCCTACATGGTGTTTTTTAGTGAGAAAGGCAAGCTCGGCAGGTTCAGGTGTTCTGCGAGCCGCAGCAGAAGAGAGTGTTTCTCAGAGCATGTCTTCTCATCCTCTGAACTCCGTTACCCATGCAGGTCTCGGGTCTTTGTCTCAGTTCTCCTGGCTTAGACGTCTCAGGGGATTTGCCTCCACACACACACACACACACACACACACACACACACCCCCGCCCAAGCCCACCTGTATTTTTCTGACTTTCTGACAATTATTTTTTACACACATTTTGTTTTATGACCTTAATTACGACCCTATATTGTGACAATCCTTCCTTTGATTCCCTCTTTCTCTCTTTTTTTGAAATAGTTATGGCTTAGCTTTTTCTACATTCGCTAACTATAATTGTGAAATTTTTCTTCTTTCTTGTGCGAGGTTACACTGAGTGATTTTTACAGAGTGATCCACCCTTGTGTCCCTTGAGTGTACCCCCTGGCCCTCCAGTGGGCGTCCGAGGCTGCAGATCACCCTAGGAGGAGATTGTCCTTGTTTATTCTGAGCAACCACTGGTAGACGTGAACAAGGGAAGATGCCACCTTTGGCGTGGGCACCGGAGCTGCATTATTCTTTGCTATTGCTGAATTTTACTTGTTTGTTAGGGGAGCTCTGGTGGGCTAGTCTGTATAGAGTTGACCCAAAGGCCTGCCTCTTTGGCGGTTCGAATCCACCAGCAGTTTTGTTGGAGAAAAATGGGCAATCTCCTCCCATGCACTTTGTTGTTGTTATGTGCCATAGAGTCACTTGCAACTCATAGCGAGCCTGTGTACAAGAGCCCCAAACCCTGCTCTATCCTGTGCCAACTTTATTGTTTCTGACACCCTACTCCCATTATCCCAGTCACTGAATTGATCCATCTCATTGAGGGTCTTCCTCTCTGGCACTGTCCCTCCACTCTCCCAAACTTGATGTCCCTCTCCAAGGACCAGTCCCTCCTTGCAACATGCCCAAAGTATGTCAGACGAAGCTTCAGAATCCTTGCCTCCAAGGAGCAGCCTGGCTTCACC